GGAGAAAGTGGATTGAGATGGATTGGACACTCGCTCACCGAGGAGGCCACCACTGGGTGACATCGCGCGCGCGTCAGACCATTGCTCGAGTGGAACCCGACAGAATGGGAAGCGACGAGTGGGACGTCAGTTCAAGGGTGACATGGAGGAGATCGTTTGAAGAGGAGTTGAAACAGTATGGACTAACATAGATGGATGCAGGTGAAAAGTACAGCAGCAGAAGACAGAAGTGGCAAGTGGAGGGAGACGGGCAGTTGAAGCCCTATGTTCCACTAGGAACCCAAGGGAACAATAATAATATCATTATTTTCGAATGTACTTTACCTTATATTGTTGATTTATATTCATTAAATGTCTAATCATCAATTTTCACTCATGTATATAAATGAAGCAAAAAAGTTGTGTGAGTAGTGACTTGATACGTTTATGAACAGCAATAAATTGTGATCGAAACGTGGTTGATCATCAGGAAATATTATTGCATAACACTACACTGTGTGTGTGTGTGTGATTTTATCAAAATAAAATTTTATCCCTAATTGAGTTATACTCTACCACCACCACCACCACCACAGTGCCCAAGTTTTATACTTCTATCAGACGGAACATTTTCTTAGAAATAAACAAGATATAGGATGAGCAAGAAAGATCAGATGATAGAACTACTCCATGGTGTCTGATACTTGATTTAGTCTCTTTCTATTTCATTGCCCTCCTCTAGGCTACAAGCAACTTGTCAACAAGCCTTGTTTTTTGTAGATCACATTTATGTCTGAAGGTGTGAAGTTAACTGTCTGACATTTAGAGAACCATTTACGATAAGACTATTTAACTTAGCCACCACTGGCTTATGATAAATATGTGACAAAATGCTATTCAGTTTAAAACAGTCACGGATGGAGGAGTTTCCCGGAGTTCTAGTGAGAAGTCGTGACCAGTGAGGTTCAGTTAGATGTCACATGTGAAGATTGATGTCCCACTAAAGACAACGGTCGAGGTCGCGCTAAATCACCAATTGGTAGAAGTTAGAATTCATGAGTTGACCATTGAATTGGGTCCCAGTGGCTGAATGGTATACGAGCTCACTGGCCTTGTTAACCGGGAGGTCCTGGGTTCGAACCCCAGTTGGATGAAACAGCTTTCCAGTACTCTCTGGCTGGTTTTCAATGTTTCACTAACTGACTGATATCAATCCATGATCACCTCGTAAAAAACAAAACTAACCCTTACAAAACAAACTATAGAAAATTAAAACAGTCAGATCACAAGGTAACCGACAACGGGACAGTCAGATCATCTTCAGCGTATTTATAACAAAGTTGATATCATCCGAAAAAGGAAAGAAAGAGGAAAACGAGAGAGAGAGAGACAGAACAGCACTTAAAGGGACTCCAGCTTCACTAACCAAAATTTCTCACTTATCTTCTCTTAACGGAGTGGTGAGGATTTTAACGGCAAGCGGGGTGAGGTGGGAGGCGAGGGGTGGAGTTAAATAGAACTTGGACCATATGAGACATGGTTGACACGACAGTCACCGCACGCACGCACGCACGCATACACACGGTCACAGCCAGGTCGCCGGATAGCGCCGGATACATAGAAATCAAATTCCGAATGTAATACAAATAAATAAATAAAAATTTAAGGATAGTACGGTATATAAAAACAAAAACAAAACAATAATAAATAGTCGTAGTAGTAACAGTACAGCAGTGTGTAGAAATGATTTGAGAACGAGTTGAGTACACGCGATAGGATAATAGAGTATATAAACAGTTTGGGATTTGGGGATCATGATGATAATATACGTTGTTATACAAACAAAACTCTGGTATTAGTAGGAGTTAGTAGGAAAGGTAGGCAAAAACAATAAAGAGAAATACTATCCCCTATAACGGTCGAGGCGGGGCCGGGGGCGGGGACGGCTGAAAGAACTCTACTCAATTATTATGCAGCACAACTATGGTTCTTATGACCAGAAGAGAGTCGGTCAAAGAGGAACAGTTTTCTCTTCTCTTTTTTAAATCTCTCCATAAAGAGTAAGTCAGATAGACAGGCAGACAGACACACACAGATAGAACTTCTCTAGCAGGTGATGTCTCCTTCTCACTCTCTCTTCATCATCATAAGTGTTTAATAGAGTGAGAGAGAAGTTAGAAGTAGTAGTTATACAGCAACAATCACATATATAGAGATAATAAAGGGATATATATATATATATATATATATATATATATATATATATATATATATGTAATACCATCACATTTAGAAGGAGATGATAGGGATGAATGGATTCAAACTAGGATTCAAAGTTAAGCAAAGGTGGAAATCCAAGCGTCTATCGTTGTTTCCCCGTGTGCTTAGGTACATCACATCACACGCAGAGATATACAAACATATTGCGACATACAATACATGCAGTGATATGTATATATGCGTATACGGTAGTTAGTTAGTTAGTTACTTATGATTGTCTTCAAAACTTGACTGTTATTCACTCACCAAAATTCGATATCAATTAATGAATGTGACCTTGACGGGAGAAGACAGAGAGGCAAAGTCTCCCAATCCTATTTCACATCCTCTACTGATATAGGTAGATATACAACAGAGGTAGGTAGGTAGGTAGGTAGATAGGCAGGTAGGTGGGTTCGTTACAGCTCTCTGTGTAGCTACGTGGATAGCTAGCTAGTGGTAATATTCACACACACACACACACACACACACAAACCGTATCCGTGTATGATTAGCAATATCAATAATAATAATAACAATAATAAATAATGAAGTATTCAGTTTAGAAAGGGAAGAGAAAACCAACGACATCAAAAAAAACTAATGAGGGATAAAATGGGAGAAATTTTACTTTACCAGAGAGGGAGAGAAAATCAAAAAGATAAATAGAAATACTGAAGAGAGTATGACAATTCAACACTAATGAGAAATTTATATGCGCAAGCATTGAGGGGTAAAAATTAAAAATTAAAATAGATGATGATGATGGACGATGGATGGGCAATAGTAGTAGTAGGTAGAATTAATTGAAGCAATACAAGAGATAATGGACTAACATACTAACTTGACTGACGACTGGCTAGTTGGTTTCAACATCTTTCAACAACTCTCTCCCACAGATGTCCACTACACTTCGAGTTGCCACACTCACTCCATGTACTACATAAAGTAACAGAAGACTGTAAATAGAGATTCCAGAGAGTGAGTGAAAGGGGAAAAAACAATAGTATAATATGAAAGAACAATGGAGTTTTAATTAGATATGACTGGCAAATCTCAAAGAGTGAATGCATCAGCACCAGCCATTGACAGCAACCACCACTTTGAGCTACACATCACCACCTATTTGTCTCCAGCTGTCGTCATTGGTTCTTACCATTTCGAGCATCCCAACCAGTCAGCTGGCTAGTTAGTTAGTCTACACCTCACAACTTGTCTACCTTAAACTAACTGTTATGGATTTCACTGACTGATGAAGCAATGTTTTCATCTGACCACTATAATCATTAGTAGCTCTTCTCCAACCTCATCCATCCATCCATCCTATGTCAGTCAGCTAACATTGCCTGTCAATGAAGGTGACCGATAACTCAACATACACAAAATATGCCCTAACATTCTTAATCGACATGGCCTCACAACCTTATCGACTCACTTTATCTCCTTACCAAATACTCCAACCGAAGCCTATCCCCAATATCACACACCCTACTATGATACCACCTAACACACACGGGAGGATAGAATGCAGACACCTATAGTCAAAGACACCTAGCTGGCCTTTTCATATCTTCCAGTTTCAATGGCTAAGTCTCACAGCTAGCGATAAAAAAAGCACAGAATGAACTGCTGAGCAGTACACACCGCACATCCTTTGGTCGATAGCCAGCCAGCCAGCCAGCCGGCTATCACGTCTACTAAGTCAGAGATGTTGTAAGTTGGCAGGCGAATACCAAACAAGCCTTCTGTATCCGTGCTGAGATTTCGTCAGCAATCAATCAACCCATTGATGGAGCTGATCCAACTCCTTAAATAAGTGAAATGGTCAACACGCTCAGGCACCACTTCACTCTCTATCTTATCCTTTAAGCTAGGAGTTGATGCAATCCAGCCCTGTAGCATTATCTTACATTTGACAAGAGCGAATCTCATGACAAACATTCAACGACTTTTGCTCAATGTATTCAAAAGACTCTGGGTTTTTTCAACGTCTTCATCTATTCGAAAAAACTCTTCCCTGGTAACAAGTCAATCCCTGAGTCGCTGAAGTCAGTCAGTTAGGGTTAAGTCTATTAATACATTTATGATGAAATCAAACAAGAATGCGGACAGTTGGCATCTCTGACAGACACCACTAGTTGTCATAACCTCAGATGATGACTCTTCGGAGACAATCGACCATTAAGCCACTAGGCTACGAGCTCGCTAGCCTTGTAACCAGAAAGTCCTGGATTCGAACCCCCTGTGGGGTGGGTGCGTACTGATGAAGAGTCCCAAACTAGACTGACGAAACAGCCCTCCAATACTCCCAGGTTTTCAAATGGTTCTCTAATCAATGTCAGCTCATGATGAAATCCTGTAACCAATTAACCCTGATAAAATGATCTTTAACCCCAAAAACGTGACCTTATCCCTTCATGTGTCGGTGGCACAGAGGTTAGGACTCTCGTCGACCACGCGCACATGGTCCGGGGGTTTCGATTCCCAGCCGACGCACACCCGATCGATATCAATGCCGCCGGCCTGCAAAATTTGGGGCTACCGATATCACATGCTGAAAAAATTTCATACTTGTGTATCAAAAAGTACTGTGTGCAGTCAAGCTGTAATAAAATAATAATAATAATAATTCAACCATCAGCCTCATTCAACTCAACTCAACTCTGGACGTCTAAGAAGCTGGTATATCAAACTGGCATAAACAGCTTTTGAAGTTACAAAAAAGTGATAAGAATAATAATTACACAAAAGTTACTACTTACGGAATAGTGCATTACACAAGAATCATTCGATTGGAATGGTGGACGCCCCCCACCTGCACCACCGCCACCAGGTGGGATTTGATGCATTGGACGATGATTACCAGTCGATCGAGGGAAATGATTATTTTGTAACATCATATCATCATTATTACTATTATTATTATTATTACTATTAACAATATATGGTGAATTCAATGCTTTATTCGGCGTGATAGTAGGCGATTGTTTCAGACAATGAGAGGATTGATTAGTAGTAGGTGATGGTAACTGTTGTTGTGTTGTTGACAAGGCTGATGCTGATGATACAGAGTAATTTGTATTTGCGACAACATTCGATCTCACCGACCCAGCAGATTTACGTTTCTTTGTGCTGGGTTTAGTAGAGCCAGAACCACGACCAACCACTACTGGTTGACTGACGACATTTGTCATCGGAGCGACAGATGCACCGATAGGTGAGGAGGAGGAGGCGGCGACGGATGAAACAGGCGCATTCATCATTGTCATCGGCATCTGACCAGAACGACAAACAACTGATGAATTATTACTATTATTATTATTATTGGGTGGAATATGATGATGACCAAGGAAATTTGAATTCTCTATGCCTTGAACTACTACTGATGACATTGATAAAGGATTTGATGAATTATTATTCATGGGTGGCCAGTTTTCACCACTTGACACAGAATGATGATATGATCTTTTTTGTCCAGCAGTTGGAATGGGTATTTGTTGTTCTGGACCAATTGTTCCCCCATTGAACCTAATGTTCGACTTGGATCAGCAGCAGGAGGAGGTAAAGATGTTAACGCGTTGTTGGATAGTGGTGGTGCTGGTGGATAGCCTGAATTTACAGGACACATGTTTGAGTTATTCGGTGGAACCATGACAACTGGAGGACCACCACCAACGCCACTCTGGTAGGCAGGCGGTTGACAAGTCTGTTGGTGTTGTTGTTGTTGACTATGATGATCCATCATCGTCATCATTTGCTGCCCAGAGGGTAACATCATTGTCCCAGGCCCAGCCCCAACTCCAGTAGCTGCCATAGGCTGTGGTGGAATAGTGGTGGAACACTGAGATGACAGATTTGCATCATTCGAATCAAAAAAACCCATTTGTCTAGATGCTCCAGGATAACGCAGCATCATTCCAGAGGGATCAGATTTGCCTCGTTGATAATCCGAACATAATCTATCCCATTCTTGTTGAGCTGATTCACTATTCATAGATGATCCAACAACAACGCCTTGTTGACGAGTCATCATACTGTTGTAGTTTTCTGTGTCGAATGGACGTGTACCGCCAAGTGAATCAGGATATGGGGATGTATTGTTCATTGCTGGATTGAAGAGAAATTCAAAGGAGAATTAAAAAAGTACCATGGATGGAGTAAAATTAATCGTAAATATATACATACATTATGTAACTAAACCCTGTTCCAACTATTTCAATTAGGCCAAACGGATTAACTGTGATACCGAAACCTTTCCTCGATTTTCTACCAAAGTAGGATAAGAATTGCTGGTTAGAAAAGTTTCGGATATGTGTACTGACATTGTGAGGATATTAAACACATATACTAACATTGTATGGAGGATTTCATCATGAGCTGACAACAGTCAGAGAACCACTGGAAAACCAGCCACAGGGAGTACTGGACAGCTGATTCGTCCTAGTTTGGGACTCGTCAGCAGTGCGCATCCACCGGGGTTCCAACCCAGGACCTGCTGGTTACAAGGCGAGCTGGTAGACCATTGAGCCACTGGGACCCCATCCAATGGTTCTTGAATTCTAACTTCTGCCAATACACGACATAGCGCGACCACCATTTCAGAAAAGTAACGGACTTCCCCACAGGGGGCCTTTAACCCCCCCCCTACCATTGCATCTCTTCAGTTCCGCCGCAGATGAAATTTTTTTAGTAGATATATACAGAAGCATGGATACAAACTTTATGGTCCCAAAAATGTCTCTATTGAGGCATACAATATACGGATGATATATAGTTCCGCTGTCGGGGACGGAGAGGGGTGGAGGCGGTTCAACACTGGAATGATTATCAGCCATGTATTTGTGGGAACTAGATTCTGTTTCCATTCCAACTGACGAACAATCGTTGAATCTCATCCAGTTTACTAATCAGTAAACTCAGGGGGAGAAAAGAAGCTTCAGCGTGTCGCTAGGCGACCGCACCACCAAGAACAACACCGCTACTGACACTTCAAAACATTAAGACTTGTAGCCCAGGAAAAATAATAGGTTCACCAGACAGGGAGTATGAGATTGCTGGATTCAATCCCTATTTGGGTATCTTCAGACTCATATATCATTATTCAATTCAGCCACTGGGACCCGGTCCATTAATGAGCGCATAAATTTTAACTTCTCTGCTAAACTTCGCGATATATAGTAGCATTACTTTCACCCACATCAACCACATAGTGGAGGAGTCCGCCTCCGCTGCTAGTCGAGGCGTCTTACTCTACTTGTAGAACTTTAGACAACTCCATCTTTTATTGAGAGAGAGAGAGGGAGAGTCCCTATTGAGCATTACATCAATTTTCAAGTATTGATTAGCAGAGAGATGATATACTCAGCCTAAATGAAACTTTCTGAGACTTATTTATATGCATTTTTTTCCTTCACATTCTAAGTGAAACATGAGGGTGGCCCAAGCTAGAAGGTTGAAGTTCCTGTAGCAGTGGTGTCTATTTTTACTAGATGGGGTTGCTAGCCAGTCCCATGCCTAACCTTCTCTTTTCATCAGTCTTATTATTACCGGCTTAGCAAGGTAAGAGAGGAGTGCGTCGGTGGGCCGGGGATCGAACTTCGGACTATGTGAATGGTTGACGAGCGTGTTAACCGCTATTCCCACCGACGCTTCTTAGACTTACCTGAGTTTTTTAAAAAAAAAAAACAAGAAGAGAACACATTCATCAAACAGAAAGAATGATAAAACTCACCTGATGACGGTGGAATACCTAATCCAAGTGGTGGTTGTTGTTGCATTGAATTACGCATTAATCGTTGTTGTTGTTGTTGCTGCTGCTGCTGTTGTTGGTGTTGTTGTTGTTGTTGTTGTTGAAGTACAGCTCCAGCTGTTACCGCTGCAATAGCACCAGGCGTTGAAGCACTTTTACTTTTACTCAATGTTGAATGAATTTTTTCCAACTGAGCAATTTTACTTTTACGATTTTCCCATTGTTCTTGAGTCAATGGTGGCATATTACTAACACCACCGCCAACAATAACTCCAGCAGCGATAGCATCTGGTGGTGGAATACCAATCATAGGAGATACTAAAGCAGTAGCAGGACCTCCTCCGCCTCCTCCTCCTCCTCCTGTTCCTAGACACTGTTTCTGTGCAGGTAATGGATAATCGATTCCACCGCTGCATGGACTTGTATCTTGTTGACTACTACCGATACTCATTTGACGACCAAACTGACCAGAGTTAGACATTTTTGATAGATTTGGATTGATGCCATCAGATGGAGATAGCTTTGCAGCACCAGTAGCTGGATGAGTATCTAAATTATTCGGTGCTTGTTGTTTCGAGGTAGTTAGATTCCCGGGAATTGGATTCTGTTGTTGTGTTGACTGATGACATGTTGGTGAATAGGAGAGATAATTATTATTGGTAGGTTGTGTAGGCGTAGTATTAGTAGTATCATCGATTCCCCCTGTATTGTTAGGTCGTACATGTGAAGATGGTTGTGTAGAGATTGAAACGGGATCATTGCTTGTCTGTGGTGGTGGCAATTTACACTCACCTGTCAATTTACAAATAAAATAAAAGTAAGTAGGATAGAATAATGAAATTAGTACGCTATTTAAGCTACTCAAACGATTGAGTGACTGAATGAATAAATTTCAACACAGTACATTATGCACAGAAAGGTATCAGTCCAAAGGTAAGGAGGGGAAATCAATCGACGAGGCTGTGAAGTGACACCGATTGAAATGGTTAGCACATATGTTGTGTATGCCTGGGTTAGCCTACGCCTTCTTCGACAGTGGGCAATGTTAGCTGACTGACTCAGGATGACGTTGGAAAAGAGCTACAGGAAGTCAAACTAAAACATGGCCTCGTCAGTCAATGAAATCCACAACAATTAGTTTAAGTCAGCCATAGTCAGCCAGGTGTAGACTGGCTAGAACTATATTGATCTTCTTTATTACTATTCCTTTGTCTCACACCTCTGTTTACTGTCGCTACTATGCATTTCTTCTACTTCTTTCTCTTGCTTTGTTTGCTAATTGGAGGGAGTGTGCTAAGTTCGATGTCGAAAACAGATAGACAGACAGACAGATCAGTCCAAATAGATAGAAGGACATGAGGATCTAGGAGATTACATCAAGTGAATGAATCTGAGTTATATATATATCACCAAAAGTCAGTCAGTCACTCCCAGGGTCATAAAAAAAAACCAGGCAGTTTACATCTTTATAAATGATTGGCTCAAGCCAACTGTCAATGACTTCATGGACTGATGTGCCAGGTTTCATATTTCACCACCCACCCACACCCACACACACATACATCTCTAATTCATTTGTTAAGATTGCATGTCAAGAAGAGACGGTGACACAGCATGCATGTTAAACACGTATTCAAGCCCTTTCACAAACGGCATAACTGTTTCACAGCTTCAACGATTGGCGTCACTTTAAAGCATTCTTAACACATAATTACAGACACAACTAGCTTTTGCCTATATACTTCCCAGTTTCCCCTTGTATCTGTGGTGAGAGCTGGCTGCTAGCCAAAACTGGTGGACAGTAATTTACGTCAAAGAGATGCAAGGTTAACTTTCTGTGAGAAACAACCAATCAGAAGACTGTGTTTTTCTGCTAACAATAATGTATGATATGCACATGAAAATCTATAAATATGTGTTGATTTCCATAATAAACGATCTGTTGACTGGCCCTTGTCTTCTGTTGTTACATATCCACATATTGAGATTTCGTCAAGTAGGCAATCAATCAATCAACGTGGCCTGATGATGCAACTTCTTAGATAACTGAAGTGACCAACACTCCCAACCCCATCTCACTCCTTATGTTTAAACTAGGAGACGATGTAGTCCAGAATTGCAACAGAATCTTACAAGTGACATGAGCCAGTCAAGTGCCAAAAACACTCGAATATTTCCGCTCCGGTTGCTCAAAGTCTTTACGTAGGAGGAAAAGACTACCGCACCCCCCCCCAGTAGCAGCAAGTCAGCTAGTGTCAATTTATTAGTAGAACTATGCTCAAATTAAGCACACACACACACACAAAACCCATAGACACTGGGTATCCCTGACACGCTACTGAGTTGTCGTCACTTCAAATAACAAGTCGCTGTAAACGCTTTTCTACACAGGTGTAAGAGTTTTGAGTAGACTGCCCTGCTTAATTAATGCGATGCATACTTTATCGGGAAATCTCTTTCACGACTACAACATTGATAGAATAATTGAATGACTGGTTGGTTGGTTTCAACATAGAACAACTCTCTCCACAGATGTGCGCCACACTCTCCCTCCATGTACCACACAAAGCAACACAAGACAGCAAAAAGAGACGTTCAAAAGGGGAAAACGAATAGTGATATCAAAGAACAACAGAGTTTGATTGGATATGACTGGCAAATCACAAAAAGTGAATGCATCCGCAACTACTTTGGGCCATATCACCGCCCACTGTCCCCTGAGGACCCGAACCAATCGGTCAGTCTACACCTCTCCAGTTGTGGATTCCATTGATTGATGAAGCAATGTTTTCGTTTGACCAACACCACTACCACCACTAGCTCTTCTCCAACCTCATCCATCCATCCATCCCATGTCAGTCAGCTAACATTGACCGTCGAGGAAGACGATCGATGGCTCAGCATGAACACAACACATGCCCTAACCATCTCAATCCACGTGGCTTCACAACTTCATCGACTCACTTTCTCTCCTTACCTAATACCACTTAATACACGCGGGAGATAGAATATAGACATCTATGATCATAGTCACAGCTAACCAACCTTTTTGTATCCTTCCACTTTCAATAACCATATCTTCTTACAGATAAGCAGTACACACCACACGTCCTTTGGTCGATAGCCAGTCAGCCAACCAACCAGCCATCCGGACATCACATCCACTAAGCTAGAGATGGTGACAAACAAGACTTCATCAGCGGTCAACCCACTGGCATTGGCTGATAGCAACACTGCCAGAGAGCACCCACCTCTCAATGTCTCAATAACCTGTTAAAGTACTCTAATGTGTTCGTTTAGTATTTTAGGCATTATAAACTCGCGCATGCACTAATTAATTAGTACTATAGAATAATAATAATAATAATAATCTAGTACCGCAGACTGTTGAAAAGTAATACACAACGACAACAGCATCATTCATTAAATATCTAGCTGGCTAGCTAGCTAACTAGTAATCACATTTTGTGCTAGTAGAAAGGAATGTGAGAGTGTATGCACAAGTATATATATATATATCATATGCATAGTAGATGGTGTTACCATTAAATACATAGTACCCACACCAACCCATTCACACACACCTACAAGCATAGACACACGCACACACATTGTTGTTGTTGTACTTTATATATTCATCACTCGAGAACCTACCTACTTAAATAAATCGTTTAGCAACACAGAGTAACAAAAAAATAATAATAAAGACTTATTCATGTGAAGGAAAGAAAGAGAGAGAGAAAGAAAGAGTGAAAGCGTAAAGACACTACTATTATGAAACTATCAGCCACATGATGCGTGTAAATGTGTGTGTGTGTGTGTTTATCAGTCGATTATTTCATAATTATATACACCACAATGTATGAATGAATGAATGGATGGATGAAAGGCATCAATGATTTCATGAATTTGGTTAATAACCAGTTAGTTACCTAGTTATTTAGTTTATGATTTCATATATACAGATGTATACTTTATTTTTTCACATATAACTAATAACCTCTATAACGATGAAAAGAAATATTCGTTACAGGAATTCATTATAAGGTGAGATCGGTTAGAGAACTATTGGAGTACAGGACAGTCAGCTGTTTCGTCCTACGCAGGGACTCTTCAGTAGTACACATACCCACCACCACCACCACCAGGGTTCAAAAACCAAGGAGTTTCTGGTTACAAGACAATTGAGTTCGTAGACCCTTACGCCACTGGGACCCCTCACTCAATCCGATGACCAGCCCATGAATTCCAACTTCTCGCAGTTCCACGACATAGCTCATGATGAAATCTTGTACTAATCAATCAAATACCTACAAATCAATACTTGAATAAAATATTCATTTCAAATGGTGTAGAAATAGACTATACATCATCGTCATCATAAAAAGAAATTTGAACGGGGTCACATCTTTGACTTCAGGGGAGGATGAAGTGAATGAGCGAATGTCAGAGAGCCAGGTTGGACAAGATTCAGATAGGAAAGATAATAATACATCGAATAATCTGAAATCACTGTCAATTCAATCAGTACTTTTCTGTATATTGTTCACAGACATAGTGTGCACATCACGATAACTAGTTCCAGAGGACTGTTGTAGACTTCCACCGACAGCAACACAGGGAATTCCAACAGTTCAATGAACCAAGCAAGAACTAGTTGCCCAGTGGATATGTAGAAGGAAATGGAGATAGAACGGGTACAAACATACACACACACACACACACACACACACTGAGGAGACTGTTAAGTAACATGACGCATCAAAGAGTCATGCTCTCAAGTGGAATCCGAACAGTAAACAACGAGATGAGCCTGTGTCCGAGGATGATATAGAGGAAGAGATAAAAGAGCCTATAGACAATCGTGACGCTGGCGCCAAAGAGGACTGCAGAGAACAGAGTGGAGTGGAGAAGTGCTGTTGAAGCCATATGTTCCACTCGGAACCCAAAAGAAAAAATAATATTTGTCTGTCTAACCGGTCCAATCAACTTCCAAAAAGGATGTTTATATATCCTTGCCGTTCAGGGGTGATCAACAAAGTTTGGCCACTAAACAAAGACTCAAGGCAGCATTTATTAGAACTTACTATGCAGCCGAATTTGTTTTCATACAGACAACGATAGTATCACATCCTATTGTGTTTATCAATTTACATGTATGTGTGGACACATGTACATAGAGAGGACGCATCGGTCTCTGCAGGTTAGAGCTACAGAACATATCCCAAAGTGGCTGCAACAACAAATAAAATCACCGAGTACAACTCATCCCGGAAACAGGTGTCCAGCATCGTCTATAGCTAAGCACATCATCCAGATGGGTCATAAGGTTGATTTCAATAATGCCTTTAAACACATACATAAAACAAGATTAGGTCACATACTTAAATTTGTTGAAGCCTTAAACCTGTCTTATGTGTCCAAAAGTTATTTGTTATTACTTTAAACCTGCCTTGGTTATCCAATTTACAACCGAGGTTGTTTGTTTTCTTTTGTCTTACCCACAATCTTTGCATCATCTCCCCTACCCGTTATTATTGTGTGACCTTGACCTGTACACAATCTGACCTGTATTGTAATTATCCATGCCCTAGTTGCCTTCTATAAAAAAATGTGTATGACAAGTACGTGTGTATGTGTGTATGTGATCAGAATTGTATGTCCGAAGTGTGTTGCGCAAATACACATTACAACATTACAAATAAACTAATGTCTTTTTATTGTGTTGTCAAAATTCATGATTAAATCCTCCATGCAATCAAACAAAATCCCTACAAAAACCAATACTTGAA